GACCAGTTTGCTCTCTGTGAAAGCCTGAGAAAATGTTTTCTCTCCATGTGACTCTCCTTGGGCACACTATACACTTGAAGTAATGTTTCTAGATGCATTCAGGCTTGGAATTATGTCATCTCTTTATGAAAATATCGGGACTATTATTTAGCAATCTTTTTTTCTCTGTACTATTTTTGATTGATTTCTAATAGCCACACAACTTTCTTTTGGCTGACTTATTTTATTTTATTTGTATTTTAGGGAAGGGGCAACAGGGTGTTCAGGGTCTCAGTAGTAGATCAGACTCGTAGTGATCCGCCTGTTTACAGCCTCCTAAGAGCTGGGATTATGGGCATGCGCCGCCACACCCAGTCTTGGCATGTTTTAATCCTATATATTTTTCATCTATTTGAGCTTTTCAGTATCCTTATATTCTAATTGTATTTATGCTAAACACATATCTGGGCTTTCCCCACCATTTATTAAGTTTTGATTGGTAATTGGAAGGATTTTTCCATTAATACTCTTATTTATTAGAGTATCTAGCTTCCTTTCTACCTTCTTAATTTTGTATGTTTTATTTGCCTCATCTGTCCTAGTTATTATTTTATTTATTGGTTTTTTAATGGATTCAGATTTCTCCTGTGTCCAGCTCCCTAACTGCATATATTTCTCTGTTCTGCTTTAGAACTTCTATTTTTTAATGATTACCATAGAAATTTTAGTATTTAGGCAGTTGTGAAATTAGTCAGTGGCTTTCCTCCTTCTAAATATTTTCAGTACTTTAGAATATATATGCAATCATCTCTACCTATTCAAATTATATTCTTCGGTAATATTTTAGTTTTCTTGACTTTTTCTGTTATTGGCTTTTAGGTTTTGTTTTTGGTGGTAATGGTCCTAAGGATTGAGTTGATGACTTCTGCACCAAGTTAATATTCGAAGCTCTTTTTAATTTTATTTAATTTTTATTTCAGGACAGGATATGATTAATTCATTAAGTTGTCCAGCCAAAAAATTTCTATGGTTACCCTTCTCTGTGTTCAACATTCTTCCCTCCACCTCAGAATTCCTTGCTAGGAGCATTTCCTTTCTTGCTGACATAATTCATTTAGAAAGTCATACAATGAAGATCTGTTGGTAACTTCTCCATTTGTCTGGAAAGCATCTTTATGCAGATCTTACTCTTGAAATATATTTTGACTGCATAGAGAATGGTATAGTCAGTGTTTAAAATCTTATGTTGTTTTTATTTCATGGCTTGGATTCCGGCTGTCAGTTTGTCCTTTGATTGCAATCTCTTTCCTTCTGTATAATTTTAAGATCTTCTCAGCTTTGATATTGAGCATTTTTACTTCAATGACTCATGTGTTGATTTATTTTAATTTATGCCATTAGGAATTCCTTGAGCACCCTTGTCTGAGGAATAGTGTCTTTTGCCATTTTTCAGAAAACCTAAGCTGTTCTCCTGTTTCATTCATTCTAATTACACTTGAGTAACTCAGATTGTATATGTAGTAGATCTTCTAGATACTTTCTCCTGACCTCTTCTCTTCCAATTAATTTCAGTTTTTGTTCAGCAATTGAGCTGAGCTAAAGGAGTTTCTTTACCTTTGCCTTCCAGTCTACTCATTCTCTTTTCAGCTATATCTAATTGAATGTGAAGTCCATAAATCAAGGTTCTAAATTTATTCATGACTACATTTTAATTCTTTCCATTCATTTTATGTCATCTCAATCTGTTTGGGTAGCTTTCTTGTCCTTTTGCTATACTTGTAATTCTTTCTTTATTTTAAAAACATAGTTGTCTTACTTTTCTGATTGCTAAGAGGTAGTGCTCAATACTCACAAGGTGAAGGAGGAAAGATTTATTTTACCTCACACTTTGTGGATGTTTCAGACATAGTCAGCTGGCTCCAAGGCAGAACGGGTGTGGTAGAGGAAACACTGTCCATTGCAGGCTCGGCAGGGGGCAGCAAGCAGCCTGCCTTCCATCTCTCCCGTTCTAGTCCATGCAGGCTGCTGGCCTGTTGATTTGAACCACCCTCATCCAGGGTGGGCTGTCCATCATCCATACCCAGAGCTATCCTGAACCAGTTTAGTTACCAACCAGCCTGCATCCCGGGATCACACACTGTAAGTCCTCATCACACACTCGTGATGCTCCAGCTGTGAGCATAGGGCCTTTGTTGTAAAAGCCACAGGCACGTTCAACAGAATTACTCTTACGTCGCGTATCTGATCATTGTAATACCTGCTGTCCTCATAGCGCTGATCCTACAGTGCTTTTGTTATTGTGGTGATGATTCTGGGTTTTTGTTTTTTTATTTTTGTTTTTGTTTTTGTGAGATAAAGTCTCACTAAATGGCTAAGTTGCCGAGGCCAGACTCAAATTTGCCATTCTTCTGATTTGGCCTCAACAGTGCTAGGATTACATTGTGTAACACCATGCAAGGCATGACTTAGAAAGAAACTAGTTGTTTCCTTTAACTCTCATTCATGGAGATTATTTCTTCATGTGTTTAGTGAATTTTTCAGGGGAAGGGTGAAGTCGTGTTCTAGTGACGTATTATATTGGTGACTTCTTTGAGATCTGAGTTTAGAAAACAGCTCTCTAGAAGAGCGTTGCTTTTCATCTTTACTATTCTAGGACCAATTTAGAATTTTAGATCATGAATTTTCAGGCCCCCCCAGGTAATATTAAATCAAGTCCCAAACCTACAGGAGTACAGGCTTGTGGTTCGGAATTATCCTGCAGAGACTCTTATTTTTCTCACTTGCTAGAATTAAAACAACCACTGCTTATTTCTGTGAAAACTGTTTCCTCGTAGTTCACTCATTAAAATTCTGTGCTTGTTCTTTGTGCCTGATGAAACCCTAAACAGCAGGATTCTCTCACCCCAGTGGGTTCTCTCTACATAGCTGCCCCGTACCTCCAAGGCATTCCTTTACTTCCCTGGCAGCTCAGCTATTATATTGCAATATATATGCATAATATAATGTAATATGTACTATAATGTATTGTAATGTTGTCATATATATACTATCCATTATATAGTACGTTATATATGTGTGTGTCCATTGTTTTTGCTTGAGTGACATTGCTAGAGTTTCTGTCATCATCTGCTAACAGGGACGTACAGGACATCTCATAAAACGTTCAGTATCCTATACAGCTTAACTTTAAAATATGCAGAGTGTCCCACAGACAAAATCAGGAGATATGTGCAGTAAGAGAGCAAATCAATGAAGAGGTATTATTCAGTATAAGATTGTGAAAACTGAAAATAGGAAACGTGATGTAAAGTCAAAGCTATGTGTAAGACGTGACTTCGATATCCCATTCTAGGAAAGTGTTCAGGATTTAAGAAAAAGGATCATAGTACTTGACTGCCAGTTGCGGAAATCAGAAATTGCTCGAAAGACTTTTGAGGCATCCACTGAAAAGCTTCTTCATTTTGTAGAGGTAAGTTTTTCTATTACAGTTGACCCTCTCTCTCTTTGGGTTACACATCTTGGATTCAACCAATCACTGATCCAGGATATCCTGGAACCAGTAAATTTCAGAAAGTAGCAGAGGCATGAGAGTCCCAAATTTAAGTTAGTCTGAGCAACTAAGCAGTTTATCATGACCCTATCTCAAAAACTTCTCTCAGTGTGAAGGCTGTAAGTTCAATACCACATACCCCCCCCCAAAAAAAAAACCTCAAGAAAGCTCCAAAAACCAAAATTTGTATTTATTACCCATTAGGTACTACACTGAATCCACACAAATGAAGTGATAGGTAGCGTGGCACCTTCTTACACATTCTCAGTCTCTCTTCAGCACTGACTGTTTGAACATAACTCATTTGCATGCTAAATAGGTAGGTGTACAGTGGTTGCCTCTGTACCGACCATGAACAGAAAACTGCTCTTGTCATAACTGGGTAGACTTAAAGCATAAGGGCTATTTATACAGTATTTACATTGCATTGTGCAGTCATCTAGAAATGGTTTTCAGTTCACAGAGGGAGGTACATAGGCTGTTTGCAGATGGACTGTGCCATTTTTATAAGGATCTTGAATACCATGATTTCATTATTCTTGGGGGCTTGAAACCAACCCCCCATTGACACTAAGGGAAGACTGTGTAATCTACTGTGTCCAGTTTTAAGACATACATAAGCATCTGATGCAGATAAATCTTACAGTGTTTGGTGACAAAATGCATTTTCTGGCCTCAAAACACTAATGCTGACTTAGAGTCAGATTTACACATGCATTGATAATGAAAAGATTGGCTAACATGATATAGATTCTTAAGATAAATAATTGAGACAGAGTGACATGATCTCAAAGACATACTATGTTTTAAGGATTACTTTCCTAAAACTACTAGTGCTATATAAACGTGTTGTGATAAATACTGATAGAGAAATGTTCTGTAGTTATTATATTTCTGAGTAAAATTACATGTTAGTATAATTTATTCCTCCCAAATGACAGAAGTATTTATTTACTTAAAAAAGAGAGGGCCGGCTGAATAGCTCAGCAGATTAAATCGCTTGCTTAGGGAGACACAAGAGCTGGTGGGTTTGATCCCTAGGCCTGCCGTGCTGAGATGCGATTGAGACTGGGTGTGGTGGTGCATGTCTGTAATCCCAGCACTTGGGAGGCTGTAAACAAGAGAATCACTATGAGTCTGATCTACATAGTGAGATCCTGTAGACCCTGTACTAAATATACTAAAAAAGGACTTTATAAATATTAATTATATAAGAAAAGACTTTTTCAAAAAGTATCAAACTTACATGTCTCCTCCATTTTGTTTGTTGCTAGACTATTCAAGAAGTATTTTCCAATAATTCTGCTGCTTTGTCAAATTTAAGGTAAGAATATTTAAGTACTGGGGCCGGGACATGGCTCAGTGGAATAAGCACTTCCCTGGCAAGTGCAAGGGCCTGAGTTCAATACCCGGTTCCACCGGAAAAAAAAAAAAAAAAAAAGAAAGAAAGAATATGTAAATACTTTCCGCATACATGGCCACTAATTAAATTATTTCTCTAGAAATTGTGACAGAAATACTAGAAGCCTCTTCTATGGTTTTAAGATGCTGCGTAATTACCATTGAATGATGTTCTTTAATATCTTGAAAATAAGTACAGGTTGTATTACTGCAAAAGAAATTCCTGCAAATATTTTTTTTAATATTTATTTATTTATTTGTTGTGTGTGTGTGGCCTGCTCAGCCCACCAGGGGGCAGGGCTGGCTGGCATGTGGTGCTGGGGGATTGAACCGCGGTCCCTGTGCTTTGTTTAGCTTAGCTTGTTCTAAGTAGGTGCTTTAGACCACTGAGCCATCTCACCAGCCCCAAATATTTAACCAATCAGTCTAAACTTGTATTCTGAAGTTGAGGTAGAAATCACTTATCCTATATTGTCAGGAATGCTGGGGGCCGGAGAGATAGCTCAAGGGCATAAGCACGTGCCTGGCAAGTCCAAGGTGCTGAGTTTGATCCCTGGTACCAAAAAAAAAAAAAAAAAAACCCTTGTAAAGATGAGATTAACTTGAAGTTCTTTAAGCACCCTGTATGTGAGTTATTGCTAGTGGTCACAGGTGTATCACTAAAGGTAAGCCTGGATCCAGGAAATGAGTGATTATGTCAAATAGAAGTTTGTGGGACATACTTACGCAGTCAATTTCTTTCATTTTCATAATTTAGCAGCTATAAATGAAAACAATATATTTGAAGAACATACCATGATTTCCTTATTAGTCATAATGTTTCAGATTCTGTGTTTCTTTCTTGGAACTACATGTACACAACTAACATTTAATCCAAAGCACAAATTTATGAACATTCCAACACATGGTGAAGAAAGTGTACAAATGCGATATTCCTGTCCGTACAATTTAGAAGTCATTTTCCCTTCGTCTTGTAATAACTGCAACTGGTTCTAAATGTTCTGTTCTAGCAGTATTACTTGCAGAAATACAGAAAAACTACACTATGAATGCAGCATTTTTATAAAATAAATGGCCATATCATAAGTGCTCATACAGCTTAAGAGAAAAGAATATCTACAATTGTTCACTTTAAGCTCATTTTAATGTAATGTTTTATTTCTTATAATGATGGAATCTGACTGTTGTTATTCATTCTGCTTATGGTATCATTATGTGAAGTCCATAATTACTGTTTTCAGTAGGGATCTCAAAGTAGTCAAATTTCGCTTGCATGAGTTAAGTGTGTCCCCCATCACCATTCTCCAAGGTTTTGTTTTACCCGGCCTAATTACAAAAAATCTGGTCCTCAATCGGGAGAAATCAATGTTAAGGAAACCATGTAAGAGCCTGGGCCTGCTCTTGCTGTGAACTACCTACTGGGAAAAAAGCAATTTTGAAAAGCTTTGTGAAGCAACTTTTCACCACATCTTGAAAAGTCAAACACTAGCCAAGTGTGTTTCAGGCTTCTTAATGTCCATGGCTTCTATATAGATACTGGAGTCAGGTCTATGCCTTTTAATTTAAGGATTTATTCTTCAGTTTCTCCTTGTAAGTTAATACCATCACGCTTAAGCCAGTGGATTGTAACTGATGATTTTATAATCAATGTAAATTCATCTCTTCAAGTATAAATTTGAATATAATGGCTTTTTAGGGAAAACCTGGTGCTTTTAATTATATCAGAAGGCATTCATTTCAGTTGATATTTTTGACCTTTTTCAGAAGGAAAATTTTATTTCATTTTATTTTATTTCTTTTTAAATAACTTTATTGAGAAATAGCAATGAGACCATTTCAAAACTGATTACTAGCACAGTTTCAATAATTAATACCTTGCATATTGTTGTCTTAGTGGTTATTCATTGTACAAGATGCAGACATGATATCCTGTCCAGAAACACCATTAGAATAAATCTCTCTATTCATTGAATTAAGAGAATGCAGCTGTACATCTAGCCTAACTATTTTGAATATACAGATACAAAATGTTTTTTGACCAGCTTTTTTAAAGTAATATAAGCGCTGTGGGCTGTTTAGAGTTGGAGTAACAACTGGAAGAGTTTAAGAGATAATTTCAAAATGAATGCAAATATTGAATTTATATTGAAGTAATAATAAATATCTCTGTAGTAAATTTGTGTTTATATACTTAAATTGAATTTTTACAAACCAAAAGAAAAGAAAAAGGTGATACCATGTTAGCAATGCAAATGGTATCACACTTTCACAGAATAAGCCCAACAAATGATTAAGAAGGGAAGCCATTCTTTGGTTCCTTTATGTCCATATGTAAAAGTCAACCTAATTTTTAAAATATTTGTATCTACTGTATTATAAAGAATTGAAAACAGAAGTACTGTTTTATGTAAGTTACTTCATTGATGGCTATAAAAATGCACTTTTCCTACCCAGGCATGGTGGTGCATGCCTGTAACCCAGTCCTGGGAGACTGAGGCAGGAGGATTGACCCGACTTCTAGGTCACCCTGAGCTAGATAACAAGTTCAAGGATAATCTGAATTGTATAGTGAGACCTTGTCTCAAAAAAAAAAAAGTGCTTTTCCTAGAACTTGAAATTTTTCTTACAAATTTATGATGCATATAAATTCAGATTTAGCAAAGACAGATACTGTTCGTTATATAATACTTTCGAGTTTGTTTCCTTGCCCACATAGTGAAAGAAGAGTCCTGCCAGCTTCTCAGACTTCCCTCACCCCACTGGGAAGGAGCGCACGGACCGTCTCCGCAGCCCTGGCGCTGGAATCTAAGGAGCTCGTTAAGTCTGTTCGTGCCATACTTGATACGGATTGTAAGTTCTCTTGACTTTGTTCCCTTTTTTCATAGCTCATGTAACAAAACAAAAGAAAATTCCAAGTCTCCCAGTTTCATTTCATTAAGCATGTTGGTTTGCTTAAAGTGAAACTGGTAACTAATCCATAAAAGTCTCAATACACAAATTGTAGGAGCAGAATATTTGATTTATTCTTAGTGTTCGCATGTCTTCAGGCTAAATCAGTACAGGGTTTCAGGGTAAATCCTGAGGGGATTTGACTGACCTTGTCAGATACAAAAGTTACATTTCTTGTTATATAGGTCTTGCTTTATCGTGGTCTTAACCATCCAGCAGAAAAGTATAAAAATGAGGTATAGAAAGTGAGGCCATTTTAATATGCTGAGCTGTAAAAGGCTCAAGGCAACAACTTCTGACATTGCCTGTCCTATGGATAACCTACTACTATTATGGACTACTGGATTATATTGGATCATTTTAATGACAATGGAATACCCATCTCTGACAAAACAAAAGAAAAAGGGGATACAAATGAGGGACCATTTTGTATCTGTATATACAAAATAGGATAGATATGCAGCTACTTTCTTTTAATTCAATGAGAAGAAAGATTTGTAGCAATAGTGTTGGGACAGGATATCATGTCTGTATCTTGTACTATGAATAACCACTAAGAAGACAACAATATGCAATGTATTAATTATTGAAACTGTCCTACTAATCTTTTGAAACTGTCTCTTTGCTATTTGTTTCTCAATAAAATTATTTTAAAAAGAGAAGGAATAAATGTATAAAAAATTCATAGCAGTGCTGAAAAACTGGAAGGGTAGAAACACATTGAGGAATTTTTAAGTTATACCAAACATATAAAATAAGAATGAAAGTTTAGCCCAGTTGAGGAAAAAGGCCCCAAGACATAATGAAGGTGAAAGACAGACTGCTGAAGCAGTGCATTAAGTAGAACCATTTGCAGGTGGTAGGCGCAGCATAGTAGGTGAGACCAGGAGAGGATCCCGGAGCAGTCACTACAGTTATTAATGAGAGCACTGAGGAGGGGCTGAGCCAAGACTCAAGTCTTCAGAGCTGCTGGCTCAGTCATTTACTCATTCGGGGCCAAGAGGATACCTTTTTAAAGATAATGTGATCTGTCACTACATCCCCTAGAGTCAGCATTGGACTAGAAAGAGAAGCAGAACAGTGCTCTAGGTAACTTCCAGAGTCCCAGCAGACAGACATCCTTGGGACAGATGTAAATCATTAGACATTTCCATCTTTTCCTCCTCCTGTCTCCCAGGGATTTGGGGTTCGTAATGTATTTCAGCTCCCTTTTTATGACCATGAACGTTCCCTTTGCTTTCCTACAACAAAAATTACAGGTGATGAGGGCTGGCCAGATACCTCAGTGGACTAAAGTGCCTGCTTAGGTAGAGCTCAGTGGCCCGGGTTCAATCCCCAGTGTACCATGCTGGCCCCGCCTCCTGGGGCACACTGAGAGGGCGATTGAGACTGGGTGTGGTGGTGCGCACCTGTAATCCCAGCACTTGGGAGACTGAAAACAGGAGAATCACTACGAGTCTGATCTCCATAATGAGACCGTGTAGACCATGTAGACCCTCTCCTAAATTACAGAAAAAAATTATAGGCAATTTTCTAAACTGTATCCATTATTTATAAAAATCAATAACATGTCCTAATTTACATAGGGAAAAATTGGAACCAGGTGCTTTATCATGAAACAATATATTGTACAATTGTAAATTGTATTAAATAATTATAAATTATTGAGTACAGCAATTCCAGATATAATTTCTCAGATGCTTGCAGCTTCATATACAGTCTCCACAAATATGATTGTAAATTGAGGAATGATGTAATTTCAAATTAAATAATATAAGAACGTTGACAGCAATATTATGATTGTCTGTGATGGGTGGACAACTCTTGGTAAATTCTGAACAAAAGAAAATGTACTTTTCTATCAATTTACCTAGTAGTTACAATTGTGGAAAAGTTAATGTATATTAAAATTGTGTAAAAATATTTGAGGTTTATCTGAAAGTAGATTTATATTCCAGGCTTAAGTAACTAAAAAGCAGTTTTTTAAAATGGCATGAATTATACAGACGTGACAGTTAATTGTGTGAATTTGATTGGCACGGGAGCCACCAAAGAAGGAAAGCCCGCTTCTGGGTCTGTCTGGGTGGGTCATTGATGTATAATTTGCAAAACAATTTAAAAAAAATTTACTATCTAAAGAGAATAAAAAATAGTAAAAAAAAAGAAAAACAGAATACACAACATCACCAAACAAAATAATAGGAATTCGACAGTGGTTGGTATATTCCATAGTGTCTCCAAGTTAGTTGTTCAGATTACCAGTTATAAGCATACAGATTTGATTTTTAAAAAAAGGAATAAGAAATTTAAAAGGACAAGAAAAAAAAACCTTTAAGCATTAACTGCTCCCCTCTGTAGACCAGCACAAATCAGCAGTATACTTACCCAAGCCATTCTGCATACATACATAAGTACCCCTCTTGCCTTGCTTTCCCTCCCTTTCCATCCTCTTCCTTGTCACAGGTTTTCCTTCCCGTTAAGTAGCTTCTTTCCCTTTCATACTACATATTGATCCCTTCAGAATGTACTTACTCTTTCAGGTTCTTACATGAGGGAGATAATATGATGTTTGCACATGTGGTTCTGATTTATTTCATTTATGAGTATGATCTCTAATTGCATCTACTTACCTATTAAAGCCTCACATTTATCTTTTTTATTGCTAGGTAATATCCCATTGTGTAAAAATAGCACTTTTTTTTTTAAATTCATTCCTCAGTTGATGGACGTTTGGGTTATTTTCAAGATTTAGCTATACCAAATTGCACTGTTATAAACAGAGATGCATATATATTGCTGTGCTCTGATGTGTTCAGTTCACTTGGAAAAATACCCACAAGGAAAATAGCTGGGTTGAATGGAACCCCAACCCTAGCTTTCTGAGAAATCTCCACACTGATTTCCATAGTGGTTGTACCAGTGTCCACTCCCACCAGCAATGGAGAAGGGTTCCTTTTTCCTGACATCCTCTCCAGCATTTGTTATTGGTGGACTTCTTGAGGATAGCCATTCTTTCTGGGGTCAGATGGAATCTCAGTGTTGTTTCAATGTGCATTTCTCAAATGACCCATAATATGAAACATTTTTTTCCACATATTTCTTTGCCATTTGTGTTTCTTCATGTGAGAAGTGTATATTCCTCTCAGATGCCCACTTTTGGATTATGTCTTTGAAGTTTGGGGGCCTGATTTTTAACAATTCTTTATGTGTTCTAGATAGAAGTCCTTTGTCCAAGGGACAGTGAGCTATAATTTTTTCCCAATTTGTGGGTTTTCTTTTTACTCTGTTGGTGATTTGCTTTGGATGTGCAGAAACTTTTCAAAAGCATGAGATCCCAGTTGTTGATTCTTTGAAGTTATTTCCTGTGCAGTTTGGTTTTTGTTCATGAACTCTCTGTCTACCCCTATGTCTTTCAGATTTCTACATACTTTTTCCTCCACAAGATTTACTGTTTCAGTTTTAAAATTTAAATCTTTTTTTGCTTTTGACTTTAGTTTATTACATAGTGATAGACAACAATCTAATTTTGTTTTTGATATGTGGAAGGTAAGCTTTTCCAACACCATTTGATGGGCTATCTCTCTTCCAATGAACATATTTGGCCCCTTTGTCAATGAGAAGGTGGATGAGTGTGTTTTCATTTGTCTCTGCATCTTCTAATCTAGTTCATTGATTCTCGGGTCTGTTTTTTTGCTAGTACCATGATAATTTTTTATCACAGTAGCTTTGTAGTATAATTTCAAGTCGGAGATTGTGATGCCCCCTGTCTTTCTTTGTTTCCTAGGATTGCTTTTGTTTATTTTAGCTCTATTCTGGTTCCAGATGAATTTTAGGAATGTTTCCTCTAGATCTGTGAGGTACATTAATGGTACTTTAATCAGGTTTGCATTGAATCTGTATAACAGTTTTGGGAGCATTTCCACAATGTTAGTTCTTCCTATCCAGGGGCAAGGAATGTCTTTCCATTTTCTTAAATCTTCTTCAATCTCTTTTTCAGTGAACTATAATTTTCTCTGTGTAAATATTTTACTTCCTTTGTGATAATGACTCCTAATATCTAAATTTTTTGTATGTTATTGTGAAGAGTATGGTTTCCCTAATTTCTCTCTTGTTGCATTTGTTGTTTGGGTACAAATATCCTATTGATTTTTGAGTATTGACTTTGTATCCTACTACACTACTAGATTTGCTTATTAAATCTACAAATCTCTTGATGGAGTTTTTGAGGTCTTCTGTGTCAAGTATCATGTCATCTGAATAATGACAATTTAATTTCTTCCTTTGCAATCATTATTACTTTTATTTCTCTCTCTTTTCTAATTGCTCTGGCTAATGTTTCCAGAACTATATTGAATTGAAGTGGTGACAGTGGACATCCTTGTTTTGTTTCTGATTTTAGAATGAAGACTTTTATTTTTGTCCATTTAAAATAATGTTGGCTATTAGTTTGTCATAGGTGGCTTTTATCAGTTTGAGGTAAAGATCATCTATTACAATTTTCTGTAGAGTTTTTATCATGAATAAGTGTTGGACTTTATCAAAAGCTTTCTTCATCTATTGAGATGATCATGTGATGTTTGTCTTTGCTCTATTGATGTGGTACATTACATTTATGGATTTGCATATATTGTTCCATCCCTGAATTCCTGAGATGAATCCCACTTGGTTATGATGTGTCATCTTCTTGATGATTTGCTGTATTCTTGTTTGCTAGTATTTTATTGAGGATTTTTGCATCTATGTTCATTAAGGAGATTGGCCTGTAGTTCTCTTTTTTAGTTGGATCCTTCTCTGGTTTTGGTATCAGAATAATACTTGCCTCTAGGAATGAGTTTTGGAACATTAAAGAGGTTGAAAAAAGTTGGCATTAAACATTCTCTAAATTTCTTGTAGAACTCAGC